GATATAAAAAAACTGCTGCCTCACTCATTTATCAGGAAAAGAGAGAGAGAGAGAGGGAGTGTGTGTGTGTGTGTGTGTGTGTGTGTGTGTGTGTGTGTGTGTGTGTGTGTGTGTGTGTGTGTGTGTGTGTGTGGACTGTTGGACTGTTTGTCTTGACCCCGTGTCCTCAACACACACACGCACACAAACATCAATTCATTTCTTTGAATGCAGATTTCCTGAAAGAATGAAAGAGAATCATTTAAAAATGTTTGATGAAAATGAAAAGGAAAGTTACGTACTGGTGACATCATGGAGGGACAGAGACCTCTAGATTTCACCTGGAGAATATCACAGAATAACATGGGAACAGAAAATTACGACTAAAAGACACAAAATAACCACAAAGAGATGCAAAACAACATAATGAGATGCAAAGCAACTACAAAGAAACACAAAACAACCACAAAGACACACTAAAGGACCGCAAATGGACACAGACCAGTCACAAAAATACAAAAAAATGTCAACAAAAGACACACAAAAACCAAAAGGAGACATCATGCCACAGAGAGACGCAAAACCATCAAGAATAGATGCATAATGATCACAAGGAGGCACAAAATGACCACAAAGAGACAAAGCAAATATAAACAGAGACAAAATGACCACAAAGAGACATAGGATGATCATAAAGAGACAAAAAAATATAAACAGACCACAAAGAGACACAAAATGACCACAAAAACATGCAAAACAACCAAAAATCGATACAAAATGACCACAGAAAGGCACAAAGTAAACACAAAGAGATGCATAACGACCACAAGGAGGCACAAAATGACTACAAAATCACAACAAAACATCACAAAAGGACAACAAAGAGGTGCAAAATGACCACAGAGAAACACAAAATGACCACAGAGAGGTAGAAAATAATCACAAAAAGAAACAAGGATACACAAAAACACCACTGACAGTCACATAATGACCACATAAGACACAACAAAAAGCATCATTATCTTACTATCACTCAGTGGCAGCAAAAGAGAGAAACTGTGTGAGATTGCAGCGCAGTGAATGTGGTGTAAAAGTATAAATCAATACCTGTAAGTTCACAATATTTACAGTCGCATGTGGGTGGTGTCCAGGGTTCAGGTGTCCATCAGTTCGGATCGCTGCCAGCTGCTCGGCTATAAAAACACACTTCAGATCGAGGCTGCAGGTCGGCCTTCATCAGATTCGACGCTCTGATCTCCCCTCGCTCCCCTCTGTTGGTCCAGGATGCAGGTTCTGTCCAGTACAGCGCTGCTAATGCTGCTGCTGAGCTCCAGTGCAGCTGAAGACTGTGACTTGCCAGAGAAAGTGCAGCCACAGCAGATGGACAAGGTGGGAACACGACCTGTCTGCACAACCACATGATGCAGCCACGTTGCTTCGGCCACATTTAACGTCTGTTTGTTCTCTCAGGTTCTGGAGTCGCGCTGGGTTCTGGTGGAGGCGTTCTCAGATTACCCACAAGGTGTGGACATGCTGAAGCACGTCAACAGCTCGCTGGTGGAGGGACAGATGACAAGCGACAACAAAACCTTGCAGATGGTGGAGGGGAACGTTGTGTAAGTTCACAGTGTTGTGGGTCTGTCTGTGGGTCCTTGTCCACTCATGATGAGCATCACCTTTTCATTCAGGGGTGGAGAATGTGTCATCTTTCGCATCAACATGACGATTCCTGACCCTGAGAAGTCCAACCACACCCTGGAGCTTACCGAGCCTGGTGAGTTGCCAAAAAGACTGGACACACACAAAATAACCACAAAGAGACACAAAACTACCACAGAAGACCGCAGTGAGATACAAAACAAACAACAAACAAACAACAAAAGAGGCACAAAACAACCACAAAGAGACACAAAATGACCAAAAGAGCCACAAAACAACCACAAAACATTCACAGTGAGATACAAAACAAACAACAAACAACAAAAGAGGCACAAAACAACTACAAAGAGACACAAAACGACCACAAAGAGACACAAAATGACCACAAAATGACCAAAAGAGCCACAAGACAACCACAAAACATCCACAGTGAGCTTCAAAACAAACAAAAGAGACACAAATCAACTACAAAACGACTCAGAGAGACATAAATCAACCACAAAGAGATACAAAATGACCATAGAATGACCAAAAGAGCCGCAAGACAACCACAAAAATCCACAGTGAGATACAAAGCAAACAACAAGCAACAAAAGAGGCACAAACCAACCACAAAGTGACACGAAGAGACACAAAATAACTACAAAGAGACACAAAACAACAACAGAATGACCACAAAACGACCAAAGGAGCCACAAGACAACCACAAAACCATCCACAGTGAGATGCAAAACAATCAGCAGACAACAAAAGAGACACAAACCAACCATAAAGAGACACAAAACAACCACAAGGAGAAACAAAACAACCACAAAATGACCAAAACAGACACAAAAAAATAAAACAACCACAACAGACACAAAACAACCACAAACAGACAAGTAACAACAACAAAGAGACAAAAAAACAACCATTAAGACACACAAAACAACTTCAGCGACAAAAATAAATAACCACAAAGAAACACAAAACAACCACAAAGAGATGCAAAATGACCTGAACAACAACAACAACCTGCTATGAAGACATTATATCCACGTCTGCTTTGTGCAGCTGTTATGGAGGTAAAATNTCATCTTTCGCATCAACATGACGATTCCTGACCCTGAGAAGTCCAACCACACCCTGGAGCTTACCGAGCCCGGTGAGTCGCCAAAAAGACTGGACACACACAACACAACCACAAAGAGACACAAAACGACCACAGAAGACTACAGTGAGATACAAAACAAAAAACAAACAAACAACAAAAGAGGCACAAAACAACCACAAAGAGACACAAAATGACCAAAAGAGCCACAAAACAACCACAAAACATCCATAGTGAGCTTCAAAACAAACAAAAGAGACACAAACCAACCACAAAGAGACACAAAATGACCATAGAATGACCAAAAGAGCCGCAAGACAACCACAAAAATCCACAGTGAGATACAAAACAAACAACAAGCAACAAAAGAGGCACAAACCAACCACAAAGAGACACAAAACAACCACAAGGAGAAACAAAACAACTACAAAATGACCAAGAGAGACACTAATCAAACACAAAGAGACACAAAATGACTGCAAAACAATCGAAGGAGCCACAAGACAACCACAAAACATCCACAAAACAACCAACAAACAACAAAAGAGACACAAAACAACCACAAAGAGACACAAAATAACTACAAGACAACCAGGAGAGACACTAATCAACTACACTGAGACACAAAACAACCACAAAGAGACACGAAGAGACACAAAACAACAACAGAATGACCACAAAACGACCAAAGGAGCCACAAGACAACCACAATACCATCCACAGTGAGATACAAAACAAACAACAAGCAACAAAAGAGGCACAAACCAACCACAAAGAGACACAAAACAACCACAAGGAGAAACAAAGCAACTACAAAATGACGAAGAGAGACACTAATCAACCACAAAGAGACACAAAATGACTGCAAAACAATCAAAGGAGCCACAAGACAACCACAAAACATCCACAAAACAACCAACAAACAACAAAAGAGACACAAACCAATCACAAATAGACACAAAACAACCACAAAATGACCAAAACAGACACAAAACAACCACAAAGAGACACGAAATAACTACAAGACAACCAGGAGAGACACTAATCAACCACACTGAGACACAAAACAACCACATAGAGATACAAAGTCATCACACAAAAAAATAAAACAACCACAACAGACACAAAACAACCACAAATAGACAAGTAACAACAACAAAGAGACAAAAAAACAACCATTAAGACACACAAAACAACTTCAGCGATAAAAACAAAATAACTGCAGAGAGACACTAAACAACCACAAAGAGATGCAAAATGACCGGAACAACAACAACAACAACCTGCTATGAAGACATTATATCCACGTCTGCTTTGTGCAGCTGTTATGGAGGTAAAATGTTCCTGGATCCTCAGAAGGAACATGGGTAGAAGAACTTCAGCTGGTTCTGGTTTCAGAGGAAAGGTTCCTGCTGTGGAAACAAGGTTCTAAACTCTTCTTCATGTCTTGTAGGGGGGTCGAGTCCAGACAGGACTAAAGTTTGTTTGCTTTTCTTTTGCGACTGATCCGATGTGAGCCATTTAATATTTTGAATCTGCTGATACGCGACACAGTTTACCTCAATAATAAAGTATTGTAGATTAGCTGTAGTTCCTGGTAGTGAGGATTAAGCGGTGTATAGATAATGGATGGATGGATGGATGGATGGATGGATGGATGGAGTTCCTGGTTTCATACTGCAGAAACCAGAGGAGGCGCCAATTCTGTGTTGGTGAGCAGGGAGCATTGTGGGGGTTTAGCTAGTAAAGAAGCACCATGACAAAGACTTTTGGGATGTCTAATGACAGCCAGCATACGTCTGTTAACCCAAAACTACATTAACTAGATATATGACACAATGACAAATGTAATGGTTGTTTTAAAGGCCTGTACTATGTGTGAGGCTTACAACATCAGCACAAGACAAATGTCTAATGTGGTCGGTTTATATTATAATCAATCCCTGATCAATCATGCCGCATTTGTTTAAGAAACTTAGTCAAATGTATTAGACCTGTATGATAGCAGATGTAAACAAAGGCTTGGGTTTTTGCCAATACAGAGCCATTAAAAATGACTTTATGCAGTAGTATTTTAGTTCAAGCTCCATCCAAAACTTATAAAAACCCACCTTCTAACAACTCCAGACAGCTAAGGAGCAGATGTCTGGTTTTAAGGAGATGCCTCCATCACCTGGGTTCAGTTTTTTGCCTTTTTTCACAGATTTCTGTCTCTGAATCTCCTCCTTCCAGGAACAAAGGAGCTTGACGGCATTCTGTCTGCGTATGACGATCAGGGCCGAGCAGATATCTACCAGTCCTGTCCCGACTGTCTGCTCTGCATCTACAGCGGCGTCTTCGAGGGGACGCCGGGGAGGATGCTGCTCTTCTACAGTGAGACTAAACATCACCGAGACACCAGGCGTCCTAATGGTGATGATGCTCTCAGTCTGAATTCCTGTTGTGCTCTTTGACAGGGAAAGAAGGGAAACACCAGGATGCCGATGACCTGAAGGCGGCAGCGATCGTCCACAAGAAGATGGCGGAGTGTTTGAAGTTTGATGTCTCAACGTGGTTCACCTACAACGGGACGGCAGGTCAGAGAGACGCTAAAATAACCACCATGATTAACCTTCTGTTGCTCGCTGACTAGCAATATGTTTATTAACCACTGAAGTCATGTTTCTGTGACAGTAAACTCGACATATTTGTGTTTCTGGCTGCAGCTTACATAAAACTAGCCAGCTTTAGGGACTAATGACCAGAAATGACAAGCCCAGACTAAAAGAGCTGCAGCTTCTGAACCACTTTATCAGAGGTGATGCAGAAACAGACAGGGCCTTTAAATACAGCAAAATTTGAGGAAATTTTAGATTTCATGAATAAATTACAAATCCTTTGTGATCCTGTAACTACTAACGTCAACCCAATCACCACGATTTTGCTGCTCTTACACAAAACAAATAGGAGACAAAATAAAATCAATGGTATTTTAAAAAGATCACAGGATTCCAACATCTCTTATCTTGTTTATCCATGTTTACTGATGTAGGGTGTAAACTGAGAGAAGGGAAGAGGAGGGGACATGGGTGTCCTCAGAGAGTTCATGGAGTTAAAGAAGAAGCGCACTGATCATGATGATGCATTGATAATGAAGATGTATTGTTGGGTGCACTGAGCAGATTTTGACACATGATTTCTCTACAAGACTCCAACTGGCAGGTTAAGTTTTTTGTTCCAAAATGTTCTTAGAAAGTTTTTCAAAGTTCTGCTGCTAATGTTTTGAGCAGGAAGTGTTTATTCAGATCCCAGAGTGTTCTTCTGAAACATAGTATTTAAGAGATGTTCTTAAGATGTTTGCTAATAACATTTTTAGATCGTTATCCCTCGCAATATTCACACAAATGCTGATTTATAGAGGAATGTTCTTTCATATGTTTCCTCAACAACGTCCCTAAAACACCCTCAGAATATAGCAGGCAAAATGTTCCACCTTTGCTAAAGTTCCCAGATTGTGCCACTGATAAGGTTTTCAGCTCCAAACACTGTAAAGATGGTTCATTCCACTACGACTGTGTAACTCCTGCTTAAAATTCTGTTTTAAGTAGGCTTGTTCAACTTTACATACAGCTGAGGTGCTGCTGTCCACGGCCCCTTCAGGAAGAAGACTGTCTGTGTTTGCCTGCCTGACAAAGATTTAATTTAATTACTTATTTAGATATTTTTTTCTTTCTGACAACAATCAGTGAATCAATATGATGCTCCAGAAATCTTAAAAATCCAGAGATTTTCAGGCAACTTCTGAACTGGTTCCTTACCTTCCCCAGTACACGTCTCTACAGGCATTTACACATGCTGCAAACTGAGCCTTGTGTTTTACCTGTATTTTGGAAAATGAAGTACTGAAGGTGAAATATCTGTTAACAGCTAAATACCACTGCAAAAAAACAAAACAAAAAAAACAAAACTGTAAAAACTATTAGTACAGTCTCTTATAGAAAAAAGATCTCATAACTGCCAGATAATGTACGACAGACTAACATGGATCAGTCACAGTTTTCTTCCCTTGTTTATGAATTGTGGCTCCTGGTGATGAAGTGTGGATGAAGGGCATCTAAATCTACACAAACTACTGACTTCGGTCTTTGTGTCTCTGCAGAGTTTTGTGCTGACAAGAAGAAAGAAGACAAAGAAGCCTGAGGCGATGATACGACTTTATCTTTATGTTTCCGTTTTATCTCATGATAAATTAAAAAGTAAACCTCGTCTGTCTGCATTTATTTTACATGTAGCTGGAAACAACTAAAACATTACACGTTGTCAAAGATGACAGTCACAAACATGTTGTTGACTCAGTGACTAAAATGTATTAAAGAATCAATCAAAAATAATATATTATATTATAGATTATATTATGTATATTATATATTATATATCCATCCATTATCTATACACCACTTAATCTCTATTAGGGTCGTGGGGGGGCTGGAGTCTATCCCAGCTGACTTAGGGCGAAGGCAGGGGACACCCTGGACAGGTCACCAGTCTATCACAGGGCTACACTTAGAGACAGACAACCAAGCACACTCACATTCACACCTACGGACAATTTAGAATCACCAATTAACCTCAACATGTTTTTGGACTGTGTGGGAGGAAGCCGGAGAACCTGGAGAGAACCCACGCTGCACGAGGAGAACATGGAGACTCCACACAGAAAGATTCCGGTGCCCCCACCGGGACGCAAACCGGCGACCTTCTTGCTGCGAGGCAACAGTGCGAACCACCAAGTCACCTTGCAGCCCTATATTATATATAATAATCAAAAAATAATTTCTATGTGTTATTAAATATTTATGTTGCAACTGAAGTCAGAACAACATCAACATCTTAGAAAGCACACTTATTACTGTTCCGCGGACTTATTCTTAAAGAATCCGACACGATTTTTGACACCAAACTAGTCTTGCAGGTTTGCAGCTCTAAATTTTGATCAAATACATTTTTTTTTTGCAAAAAGTGTATTATCCTTATCTCTTTCACTTAATGCATTCAATGAATTTCTGTCCTCTTTCATCCAGTGTGACTCTTATTACTGTAGGACTTGCATTTCTTCATAAATCATCTCAGGACGCAGTGTGCCGATCAAAACTGTAACTGACTTCCATTAGCTTATGGAAGCAAACAGAGAGTTTCTCTAACCTGCCACCAAATCTATACAATACATTTATTTATCAACCTGTGCAGAGAACAGCAACATATAAAAGAGTCAGAGAGAGAAATTTAAATACTCACTGCTCACGAGACCAAGAACAAATCTCTGTCTCCATCTTGTGGTGACTTTATGAAGATGTATAATTTTGATTGACTACAATGAAGATGCTGATGATCAGGATCAGGATCATCTTTGATTGTAAATCTGTCTCCTGCTGATGTGACAAAGTTTCATGTGGATTAATCTGCTTGACTCAACTGACTGCGCAAACTCAACACGTCAGTTAAAATCCAATAAATCAGTCAGATTACAACACAATCAGAGTATTTATTGAATATCAGGAGAAAATATTCTGGAGAATTCCATCTAGAGTCAGACGATGATAAAAACAGGAGTTTCCAACTGAAATAAAATGTCACTGAAGAAAATCCAAAAAATCATTGAGGGCTCAAGTCTTTCAAAAAAATATATATTTCCAGGTGAAAACAACTGTTTGCTTTCAGTGAGTTTCCATGAAAACACGAAAAGAATGTGATGCTCAACAACCAATCAGTTCTGCTGCAGAACAAAATAAAAATAATCAGTCAGAGACAGAAAGCTGTTTGACTCACTGACACTCTTGACATTGAGGTGCAAAAAAAAAAATCACATTAAAACATTTTCAAGGCTAAAATAACTCAATAATAAATGAAGAAATCTCACAAACTGAAAAACGTGACAACTGATGAGTCAAGATGCTGCTAAACAGGATAATAAACTACATTTTAAATAATCAGCCTCAGTTCGTTTAAACAATTTTCACCTTTAAACTGATGACGTGATACAGTTTCAGTGTTTCGTAGACCTCGTACTTCTCAGACACTGAATTAATGATACACACAATGTAGTTTCAGCCCTTTTAAAAAACAATGCAGTAGCATCAAATCTGTATTAAAGACAGAATAAATGATATGAAGATGAAGAATGAAGGTTTGATGTGTGATGATGAGTTAAGAGGGAAATGCAACTGACATCATTTTCATTTTTTTAAAGTCCTATTCAGGACTTTTGGGGTCATTTGGACCCCAGGCCATTTGGTTTAGGTGACAGGTATTTTTTTAAAAATATATTTTTGTAGATTTTTTTCTAAAAAATATAAAGAGAGCGATATTTCTCATGCATTTGGAACCAAAAATGTATTTAACATAGTATGAAAGTCTATAATGAATACCAACAAATATTTTGCTCTTATCTTTCTTGGGGTCCAATTGACCCCAAAAGACCTTCTGCATATGGTAACATGAAAGTCCTGAAAAAGGTAAGAGTTTGAACAATGAACTAACTTCACTGACAATCACAGGGAATCTCAGCGTGACAGATTCTAATATCAGTGGTTTTGGCATTACCAGACCTTCCAATATTAAAATATGGGAAGAGTTTCTCAGTGAAACTGTCTCTGTGAGTGTAGATGTGAGTCGTGTCTTCGGGGTCGTAGAAGGACACCTCCCCCTGGTCGTAGTCCAGCTGGACTCTGAGCCTCTGGAGACTCTTCTTTATTCCAACAGTTTGACCAACAACATCCGTGTATTTCCCATTGCGATGCACTAAACTCCAGCACCTATGTATTAGTGAAGCAGATTTTTCATTCTTGTCGACTGTCTCGTTAATCAAACCCACATTCCAGCTCGGGTGATCTCCCACCTCCACCTCCCAGCTGTGTTTCCCTGAACTGATGCCCTCAGAGCCCAGAACAGTGACATACTTGGTGAATCTCTCTGGATTGTCAGGAAGCTGCTGCCTCGGGTCGCCATATCTGACACTAGTCAGATCATCAGACAGATAGAGCCAGGGGTTTGCGGTGTTTGGGTCCAGAATGACAGGACTGAAGTGGACCTTGTCCTTCATCTTCTCCCAGACTCTGAAGGACAGGTTGCCCAGGTGCTTGGCCACATCTGTCAGCGCTCCTGAGAGCGGCTGTGGATCTGACAGTGAGCTCTGGGCTCTGGCTCTGGTCTGAGTGTCTTTATAACTGCTGAGGAACGCCATGTTGTGTTTCTGCAGCTCTTCTTCAACAGCAGAGATGCTGTGTGACAGAGAGGAGATCTGCTCCTGAATCCTCTTCATCTCTGCGCTGATAGTCTTCCCCTTCTGCTCCTCTTCCTCCCTCAGAGCTGCCAGTCTGGACTCCTCTTCCTCTTTCAGGAACTGGTGGAGCTTGTTGAACTCTGCTCTGATCTGCCTCTCTGTGGACAACAGCTGCTTCTTGGAGTGTTGAATCACTGCGTTGTATGTTTCCCCCACTTGTTTGCATTTGTCCTTTTTGTCCTTCAGAGACTTTAAGTCAGACTTCAGCTGGTCCTTCAGGTCACTGACTGCTTGTTCTATAGGAACCACTTTGTGACTCTGGTGGTGAGAAAACTCACAGACAGGACAAACAGCTCTTTCTTCATCTTTACAGAACAGTTTAGGCACGTCTGGATGTTTATTACACACCACGACTTTGTTTTCTACTTTTTCTGTCTCAGACGATCCAGTTTTCTGTCTCCCAGCAAAGATGTCGGCCAGTTCCTTCAGTGAAAAGTTTATTCCTGTGTTGTCTTTCGAGGATTTTCTTTTACAAATGGGACAGTTTTTGTTTTTAGCTTGTTCCCAGAATTCTTGGAGGCAGCTCGAACAGAAACGGTGGTTGCAGCTCAGAGACACAGGATCTTTGAAAATATCTACACACACACTACACCTCAGGAAATCCTCCACAAGGGCAGTTTTGTCAGCCATTTTCTGTCTTCAATTTTGTTTCTTGATCAAAGACTCACCAAATGTAATTTCCCCTCAGCTTGACTCATAAATTCCTCAAAAAAAGTGTTGTTCAGTCAGAGATCTTATTCCTTTTAATGGCGTCCTGCTTCGGCAATGTCAGAATCTGCTTTGAGATTCATTCACCTGTTACTGGTTAATTATTAATATTATGCTGGCTTTGTTTATTACCGGCTGAGATATGAATGGGATATGAAACCTGTACCGTCTGACCTTTAGACTCCAATTTTAAATTTTATTGTGGACTTTATGACACGTAAGAACTGTTACGTTGTGACGGCGGATACAAAGAATCTACTGGAGTTCATGATGATTTTAAAAAAATAAAAAATAATCAAGGTACTTCTCTGTGGTTCCAGTAATTCCCAGAATATGAAATATTTTTGTGTATTTTCTCCCTTCATTTATTTTTGCAAGACCCCTCAAATCTGCTGAATGTGCTGCACTATACTACCATCGTTTCCAAATCCACAAAAAACACGTAGACTGGCTGATCGAGCATCTATAACCCCCTCAACAGTTCTGCAAAGGTAAAGAGCCGGTCCACTGTTCCATGAGCAGGATGGAATCCGCATTACTCCTCCTGGATCCACGGTTTGACAGCCTCCTTTCCAGCACCCTAGATTAAACTTTCCCTGGGGAGGCTAAGAAATGTGTTACCGCGAACAAACTCTGGTCCCCATTCTTAAATGGGAAGCACCACCCTGCTGCTTCTGCAGTGGAGGCTTTGAACATGGTTCACTTAGATCCCACGTCCCCAACCTCCACTGGAATGCAGGAGAAATTCTTCTGAATGCTGGAGTTGAAAACCCCACGGAGAAGGGTCTCCATCAGACAGTTCACCCTCACTACTTGCTTGGATTTACCAGGTCTGTCCAGCATCCTTCCTCATCATCGTATCCAACTCACCACCAGGTGGTGATCAGTTGACAGCTCTATGCCTCCCTTCACCCGAGTGTCCGAGACATAGGGACGCACGTCTGATGACACAACTAAAGAGTTGATAATTGACCCTTGGTGAAAGGTGCTCTGGTACCAAGTACACTTCTGAGCCACCTTATGGCTGAACATCGTGTTTGTTATGGCCAATCAATGACCAGCACAGAAGTCCAATAACAAAACAGCACTTGGGTTCAGATAAGACAGGCTGTTCGTCCCAATCACCCCCGTCTAGGTTTGTCCGTTATTGCCCACATGAGTGTTGCAGTACCCCAGGAGGACTATGGAGTGCCCAGGCAGCACCCCTTCCAGGATACTACCCAGAGACTCTAAGATGGCTGAGTACTCTGAACTGCTGTTTGGTGCAGAAGAACAAACAACAGCCAGCGTTTTCTCCTCCACAACATGCAGTCGCTGAGAGGCGACCCTGTCGTTCTCTGGGGAGAACGCCACCAAAGCAGTGCTCAGCCGGGAGCTTGTGAGAATCCCCACACTCACCCTGGGCAACTCTGGGAAAAAGACAGAGTCCAACCCTTCTTTAGGAGTTTGGTTCCAACTATATGAATGAAATGAAATGAAATGAAATATACTTTATTTATCCCAGAAGGGAAATTCAATATCTAGTTGGCACTGCTCCACCGCGGGCACCAGCTCAGGTTCCAGTGAAGACCCTCCTGGGATTGGATCCAGGAGAGGGCCCCGGTTTCCCTCTTCCAGGTGAGATGGTGGCTCTCCTTGTTTTTGCCTTTCATCAGGGTTTTATGAATTGCTCTTTGTCTGGTTCCTCCCCAAGGACCAGATTTCCTTGGGAGACCCTCCCAGGGACTACTGCCCCCAACAACATAGGACCACAGCGACACTCGACATTTCTATTAATTTATATCTGCACATTTCTTAATGCACTTTAACAAAAATCTGATTGTATGAATGGATTCTATTCTATTCTATTCTATTCTATTCTATTCTATTCTATTCCATTCTAACAATCCATCAGTGCGCTGCTGTGACACTGGTCGGCCGCTGGGTGTCGCTGTCCAGCTCCTTTTTCTCCGTATCTAGGCTACCGTGCGCGTCCGCGTGTGAGAGCGCGTGCACAAAGCGAGAAAAGAGAGAAGGGGAGCATCTGCCTCCGAAGCGCGCGCACACGCAGGGAGGATGATGCAGCCTCGGTTCAGACAACAGACGCGGAGCTGAAGAAGAAGAAGAAGAAGAAGAAGCAGCAGAACCGGGGCGGACCGAGCGGACGCACCGACACCGACACCAGCATCTACCGGGACCGGAGCTACCGGGGGTGCCGGGCTGCAGCTCCCGCCGGACGGCACCGGACCGAACCTCCTCCCCGTCGGTGTGATCGTGCGGAGGGAGGATGAAGAAAAGCAGCCAGAGCAGGCGGGTCAGTATTCAGAGGTCCATTCGGGTTTGCACCGTTTCTGGGAGGTTCTGCTGCGGTCCGCGTTCACCGCTCAGCCGCTCACCATTCATCACTTCACCCGGCGCGAACGTGATCAATAAGTCCGATCAGCACGCAGGTCCATCATCAATATTGATGCTGTGGAGGACGGACGGCTGCTTTAACGTTCCACCTTCTTCTTCCCATTCATGAGTCTTTGTTTGAGAGCAGCTCAGCGAGGTTTCCTCTCATTTTATTCCGTGTGAATGTGTTTAATAATTAATCATGAAGCTTCTGATCCTGTTAAACAAGTTCAAACGTGTTTATTGATCACATCCGGCTTTAATTCTGGGTTTGTGTCATGAACACTCTCAGTCTGAGGAGTGGAATTACTTTTTTTTTTTGGATCAGAACTTGATGATTTAAAGAAGCTAAAGAAACATTTAAAAACAAATATTCATGTTGTGCTGCAGTGAAAGAACCAAAAACGTCAATGTGAGGTTCAAGACATGAAGTGAAAGCATCAGAAGGTCTGGAGGGGCAGAAAAAGCTCAACCGTGAGAAAGAAAAATACCAGTTTTGAGATGTTTTTAGGTGACTAAAGATGTTCCTGCTTCAGATTTAGTCCGTTTTTGAAATGAGATATGAAATCTTCTCATCACAGTTTGGTGTTTTACAGTCAGCAGCAGAATAAAACCGTAAAACAACACAAAAGGAACTTTGCTTGAGTGAAACATGAAGGAGTTCTGTGTGACTCCTGAGCTTCATCGCCGCAACAGAAACACTGAAATCTGACGTTTGGTTAATTCAAGCAGGAAAAGTTTCAGTCGGGACCAGATGAAAATAAGAATTGAACCTCCTGAAGTACATTTTATAGTCTGTTGCTGCTAAAGACAAGTTCAGCTGCAGGTTGTTGCTGCTGGAATGTTTTCTGACTTCATGACATCGAGTCTCTGTGGCTCTGTGAGGTTGGTTTTTGAGTCTTTGCAGTCATTTCTTGTCTCTTTGAGGTTGTTTTTTGAATCTTTGTTGTCATTTTTGTCTCCTTTGAGGTTGTTTTTTGTCTCTATGAGACAGTTTCAAGCCTTTGCTTTCAATTGTTTTTCTTTTTTGTTGAAGTTTTTTGTCTGCATTTGTTTTGAGTCTTTGCTGTCTCTCAGGTTGTTTGTTGGCTGCTAAAATTTGTCTCTTTCTGCACCTTTTTGGGATTATTTTTTTTGCATTTGCAGTAGTTTTGAGTGTGACTTTGTTTTATGTTTTTCCCTCCATGAAGTAATTTTTTTTGTCTCTTATTGGCTTTTTGTGTCTCTATGAGGGTGTTTTTTGTCTCTCAGGTTGTTTTTTTGTCCATTTGAGGCAGTTTCTTGTCTCTTTCTGCATCTTGTTTGCCTTTTTTTGGGGTAGTTTTTTTTTGCATCTGCAGGTTTCAGTCTTTTTTGTCATTTCTTGTCTCTTTGAGGTTTTCTTTTGGGTATTTGAGGAGTTTATTTAAGTCTCTGTTTTATTCATTTTTTCTGCTTTTTTCTATAATTTTTGTGAGTCTTTACTGTTGTGTTTTTTTTAGCTGTTTGGGGTCATTTCAGGCTTTTTTTTGGACCCCTCAGGTGTTTTGAGGTTGACTTCTGTATTTCTGACATAGTTTCCTTTTAGCTGATTTGACTCTTCCTTTAATTTCTTGTCCTTTTGAAGTCATGTTTGGACTTTTTCTTTTCATTTCTTGTCTTTTTAAGGTCGTGTTTTGGCTCTTTGCAGAGGCTGTTTGTCACTTTGAGGTTGTTTTGAGTCCATTTTTGCAGTTTTTATTTTAGAGTCTTTGTTGTTTTTTCAGGTTGTTTTGATTCTTAGTTTCAATGTTTTGTCTTTTTGTTGTAATTTTTCATTTCTGAGGTTTGTCTGTTTGAGGTGATTTCTTGTATCTTTGAGGTAGTTGTGCGTGGTTTTAAGTTGTTTTTTTTTTTTTACATATAAGCTTATTTTATTTCGAGCCTTTGTTGTCCTTTCTTGTGTCTGAGGTGATTCCATCTCTTTGAGGTCATTTCTTGCCTTTTTGAGCTGGTTTTGCATCTCTGAGGTTGTTCTACATCTTGTGTGGGTTGTTTTTTTTTCTTACTTTTGGGTATTTTGAGTCTTTGTTGTAATTTCTTGTCCCTTTGAGGTTGTTTTTGTCACATTGTCGCTTTTTTTTTTTCTCTAAATAAGAATTTTTTTTTCAAGTCTCCACTTTTAGTTTTTTGTCTTTTTGCTGTTGTGTTTTTCTTCTGAGTTTGTTGCTGTTTTTTTGTCTCTGAGGTGCTTTTGAGGTCTTTTCTTCTGTCTTTTTGCACCTTTGAGTAGTTTTGCGCCTTTTTTAAGTTCTTTTTGTGTCATTTAGGTTGTTGTTCATCTTCATGGGGTAATTTCTAGTCTAGTTGTGACTTTTTTGTCTCTCTGGGGTTGTTGTTTGTGTCTAACGTTGTCATTTCTGTCTCTCTGAGGGGTTTTCAGGTAATTTCTTGTATCCTTGTGGCTGTTTTTGAGTCTTTCAGGTTGTTTTTTTGTATTTTTCAGTGACATTGTGCCCATTTTTCTTCTTCTTTGAGTCTTTTCTCGTGTTGTTATGTAATTAAAGTAGGTCAGAGTGACAGAGAGCAGAGATCACGACAAACATGATCATGAAGATTAACACTCCTCCATCCGTCACTCATTAATCTTCACTCTTCTTCACCTCTCCCGCCTCAGAAGCTTTAATCTGTAGCATCCTCCTCTTCCTCCATCCTTCTTCATCCTCTGTAATAAATCTTCTTCCTCCCACTTCTTCTTTCTGCTGTAGAGTTGAAGTTTCTCCTCCTCTTCACTTATTCTTTGTCTCGTTTCCTCTCATCGCTCAACATTTTTATTTGTTATTTCCCCTGATACTTCTTTTCTCGCTTCTTTCTTTCCTCCTCTCTACTTTCTCTTTGGAGGGTTGTGATTAAATGGATCTTCTTTAAAATCATTTTATTTCCTTCCTGCCTACTCTTGTTCTCTTCCTCCATCCTTTCCGTCCTTGTTCCTCTCAGCAGTTTTTCCTAAAGTATCGATTCGTTTTTTGGGTTTTTTTTTTCTGCTGTAGACTACAGATCTGATGTGGTGGTTCTTCTGGTTCCTCTCTGATTCTGTCTGTTGGGTTTCAGGGCGTCCAGGACTCGGGTCCGCCGGCGGTCCAGCAGCCGGAGAAGGTGGGTTGGATCCGGAAGTTCTGCGGTCGAGGGATTTTCAGAGAGCTGTGGAGGAGCCGGTACGTGGTGCTGAGAGGAGACCACCTGTACATCTCCGACAAAGAGGTGAGGACACACAACACATCCAGCAAAACATAAAGTCCAGTCTGTTGGACAGGACAGAGAGGATTGTGGGTAGTTTTCTGGCAGGTCTGTGTGTCAGACAGCTCTATAGAAAGACCACAGTTCTACCGTGGACTCAAGAGCTCAAAGGACCTCAGAGTCTCAGGTTCTCTATGAAGTTAGTGGTTATATTTCTTGTTTAGGAGTCAAAAGATTAATTAAAAGGCAACAACAGAGGCACAAAACAAAGAGACACAACAAAACTACAAACAGAAACAAAACAATCACAGACAGACATAAAACAAATGCAAAGAACCATGAAGCAATCACAAAAAGAGACAACATCTGCAAAGAGACGCAACACAATTGTAAAAAGATACAAACCCAATAGAAAAGGACAAAAAACAGCCACTAATAGACACAAAATAAGGACCAAGAGATGGAAAAC